AAGCTGTTAGGAATAGGACAGCCCAAAATTTTCTGGCTCTATTTTATTTATTTACTAGTGCCCTGGTGCATGGATTCATGCACATTGAAAGGAAATTAATTAGAAGGGGCCGGCAGGGCAGGACTGGGCGAGATGGTGGGGGGGAGGGGTAGACACACCCTGGACCCAACCTCCTGTGGTCCCTCCCCACTCCCCAGCCAGCTGCTCCTGGGGTGGCACTGTGGCTCAAAGGGTGTCTGCAGAGTGAGTGGGGTCCCTCCAGCAGGTGGAGTCCCTTGGACTGGCCTGCATGGATAGGTCTGAAACTGGCTCTCTGACATCCCCTGAGGGGTCCCAGATTGGAAGATGGTGGTTCTCGGGTGACACACCCTGGAATCAGATTCCCTCCTCTCTGGTTCTGGGTGCATCACCCAAGAACCACTGCTGCCTAGTCACCACAGCTCGGCAGCTCCTGCACTGAGTGTCTGCCCCCTGGTGGTCAGTGCACATCATACCTACCGGCCAGTCGAATGGTCACTTAGCCTTTTATATGTATAGATTTTTGCATGGTTTGAATTTGACTGTGTTATTTTCTCTCCTGAAGAAAAATAAGGATATTATCATCATTTAAATTTGCTGAAATTAAGCAGCAAAGATCTTGGAGGAGGTCTTTGAAGGGAGGAGGGGGTTGGGAGGTGCAGCCACTGCCCGGGGAGTAGGGACCCCTACAGACCTCAGAGAGTCCCCTGTCTCCTCATGAATGCATGTAGGACCCAGAGGAGAACTTTTGCCCTCTCCATGTCCTCTGTCCTCAGCTCCTCAACTTTCTTTCTTGCTCACACTTAGGACTGCAATAAAAACTTAGCCAATAAAAATACAGGATCCCAATTAAAATCGAATTTCAAGAAACCCCAAATCATTTTTTTAGGATAAATATATCCTATGCAATATTTGGAACATACTTACACTAAAAATGTATTTATTGTTTATCTGAAATTCAAATTTAACTGGGCATCCATATTGTACCTGGCAATCCTGCTCACTCTATAGCAGCCACCCTGGCCTCATGGTTGATTCTTAAACACACACACTCGGTCCTGCCACAGGGCCTTGCACCCGCTGGCCCCTCTGCTTGGGTCACTCTTCCATGTCTTTGCTTTGACCAACTCCCTGTCTTTTGGTTCAAATGTCACCTCCTCTCTGGATACCACATCTAGAGCCACGTTACTATCCCACACTGGAATTACCATGTGATAGTATGTTTTCAGGGTTTCTTTACCTCCCCGGGTAGAATTTAAGTCTCACAAGGAGGAAAATGTCATCTGGGCCACCACAGTATTTCCAGCACTTGCATCATAGGCGCACAGATCTTTCACGGTTCTTGGTTACAATCAACAGAAACCATTTCTGACTGATGTGAGCAATGAAGGACTTTAGTAAATAAAAGTTGTTAATGAATGAATCTAAAAACCCGCAGCTTTCCACTCCTTATCTCTGCACAGACCCCCAGCCACCCCACAAGTTCTCCCCTGGGCCCTGCTACTGCTTCTGGGAGCATTCGCCCCAGTCCTGCTCAGGCAGGCCTCTGTGCAGCCTCCAAAAGCCTTGCTCAGCTCTGTCTCCCAGAAGCCTCAGAGTCTCTGGCCCTGCAACCTGTCACTTCCTGTGCATGTCACATATCACAGGTGTTGCAACCAGCCCTACGTGCCTGTCTCCTGTGCACCTAGCAGCAGGTGCCCTAAGGGTTGGGCTTTAATCTGATTCACCTAAATCACCGTCAGCCCTATTATTTGCTACCTGCTCCCTCAGCGCCAGGTCTGTGTTAAGGATTGTACCTTTATTTCTCCTTCCTTCATTCATTCCACCAACTTCTATCCAAGTAATTACAATGTGCAACTAATATGTATTGGGTACTGGGGCTGCAGAAACCCCTGTACCCTGGTTCACATTCTGATGGAGGAAATAAAGAATACGTAACTAAACATGTATCTACATAGTAGGTCACAAAGTCGAAATGGCCAAAGGAAAATAAAGCAGGGAAAGGGGCTGGGAGGTGGGGGATGAAATATTCTTTCAAACAGGTGGTCAGGGAAGGGTCCCTGAAAAGGTGAGATTTGATCAGAGGCCTGAGGAGTGAGAGGGAGCCATGTGAGTACCTGGGGGCAGCGTCCCAGGCCCAGGGAACAGCCAGTGAGAACCGAGGAGGGGAACCTGACAGATCTGAAGCGGGGCGGGCAAGGACAACTAGTGGGAGATAAGGGCAGGGAGGTATTGGGGTCAGTTCATGTGGGACGGTCCACAGGGAGGACACTGGCTTTTGCCCCAAGTGCGATGGAGCCACAGAGGGCTCAGGCAAGGGAGAGACATGGCTGATGTGGAGTCCCCAGTCCCTTTGCTGTGTGAGAAGCAGAGGGTGGTGGCAGGAACAGGAGCAGCCAGACCGAGCAGGAGGTGAGAGATAAGGTGGATAGGACTAGGCTAGGGTGGGGCCTTACAAATGGGAGGAGACATAGTCTAGATAAATTTAAAGACAAACTAACAGAATTTATTAGGTAATTGAATATGGGCATGAAAAAAAGAGGAGTCAAGGACAACAACACCAAAGCTTTCAACTCATTTAATCCCAAGGCAACCCCACAAGGTGTGATCATTCTTTTGTTACAGATGAAGAAACAGAGGCTCAGAGAGGGCTAGGGACTCCACATCCCACTGGAAGTGGCAGAGCTGAGATTTAACCGGGTTTCTGTCTGGCTCCCGTGCCAGGTCTTTGCTCTCTGGGGACCCCATCGCCCGGGCATGCTCACAGCCTCACTCAGCACACACAGAACATGCCAGGCCTGACCGGCTCTGATTCATTGCTGTCTGTCCTGGCATTGCCCGGCGTCTGGCATGTGGCAGCCTTCATTAAGGCAACAAATATTTATTAAGCATCTATCTTGTGCTGGGCTGGGCTGGTTTGAGCCCTGGACACCACCCTCCTGGGTTGACAGTCCAGTGGTGGAGACAGACCCACCCCCAGACAGTGCTGGCCCAGAAAGGGCGGGGTTGATGTGGGGGTGTCCAGGGTCCTAACCCAGCCTGAGAAGGGCCTGGGAGAGGTTGAGGGAGGTGAAAGACCCAGGAATGAACAAGATGGTCTTGGTCTCCACCCTCACAGACCCCCAGCCCAGTAGGGCAGATTGACAATGAATGGTTAACAAATCAATAGGAGAACTGTAGAAAGCCAAGAGCTAGAATTGAAGTACACAGGGTGGGACAGAGACTGGGTGTGGTTATGTTAACTGGGTTGTCGGGGAAGGCTGTGACGCGAGGCCTCCAATGGTGCCAGCCTGGGATGAGCTGGGGAGAGGGCACTCAGAGAGCAAAGATCCAGTGCACAGGCCCCACGGCAGAAGCAGCTTGGTGTGTTCAAGATAAACTGACGAACGAAGTAGAAACAGAGGCATGGATTCATGGAACAGACTGACAGCTGTCAGAGGGCAGGGGTCGGGGTGGAGTGGGGGTGAGGGAGACTGGATGAAAAAAGGTGAAGGGATTAGCTAAAGAACATAATTATAGCCCACAGACACAGACAGCAGTGAGGTCATGGCTAGAGGAAAGGGGGGCTGGGGCTGGGTGGAGGTGGGCAAAGTGTGTGTGTGTGGGGGATGGGGGGATGGGGACATCTGCAATAGTGTCAACAATACAAATAAAAGTTTTTTAAAAAAAGAAACTGCCAGGAGCCAGTGTGCTTTGGGCTGGATGGGGGTGGGTGGGAATAAGATGTGAGGAGGCTGACAGTCAGCGCAATGGAAGAACAGCTGTGAGGTTGGCCTGCAGAACTGGAAGTCACGGGATACCTTCGGGAGACCTGGAGTCAGAGCACGTTCATCAGCCGGCTCAGAGCCCTCCGTGACTCCATCTCACTCAGGATGTGTCCCACCAGGCCCCGCACAGTCTGCCCCCTCACTCACTACCCCCACCTCCCCCTCATTCTCTCTGCCCCAGACACACTGGCTTCCCCGCTGATCCTCTGACAGGGCAGGACGTTTGTGGCGCAGGGCCTTTGCACCAGCTGCTTCTCTGCCTGGAACACTGCCCATGTGGTTCCTCGGGTGGCCCCTGCCTCATACTCCCTCCCCTAGTCTCCATCCCTCTTCCCTGCTTTTTCTGAGCACTTATCACTAAATAGTGACACCATTATATATTTTACTTATTTATTAGGTTTGCTGTCTTTCACCGGGTAGAATGTCACTAGGGCAGAGACCTCTGTCCTGTTCATGGCTGTCTCCCCAGGACTGAGAACAAGCCTGGCACACGGTAGGTGCTCAATAAATAATGGTCGAATAAAAGAAAGGAAGAAGGGAAACGGGAAGGAGGAAAAGGGGAGGGAAACAGCAGGTCAATGAGCACCTAAGGCTTGTCAGCCACCCCAGCTGGAAGGCAGGAGTGGTAACCCTTCTCCACTTCCAGGTTAAGCATTGCCAGGCTGGGGAACTGTGACACAAGACAGTCATTAGCATTTTCTGGCTATGGGTGCGCTGAGGGCAGGCCTGGGGGTGGGGTGGGGAGGGAGTCACCGTTGCCACCTGCTGGAGAGTGGTGCCTGATGGCCGTGCCCACCTTTCAGACTTGGGGCTGGCCACGCCTCTCGCCCCCCACCCCCTCTCCCGCACAGGCAGGAGAGGTGTGCCCTAGCGGGCATCCCCAGCAGAAGTGCAGAGTCCAAGGAGCCACAGCCATAAGCCTCTTTATTCCCGAGGCCCTGCGGGCACCCGCCCAGTCGGTGCTATGCAGCAGGGGGCAGGGCTGTGCCACCCACCTGTGCGTCTGTGTCTGTCTGTGTCCGCAACTGCCCTTCCAACACAGCCGCTGGGGACCTCCACCTCTCCAGGAGGGGAGAGCTGCCCAGCCCCCTCAGGGCTGCATTCACCCACATGGGCCCTCAGGAAGGCAGAGGAGTCGAGGCCTGCCCTGACTCCCCAGCCGGGCTTGGGTGGTGTCCGGTTACATAGGCCGCAAGGCTCAGAGTCGCCCCATCCCTAGAGGTACATCATCCGGTGGAGCAGGGGTCTCACCACCCATACATCATCCACAATCTTTCCATCCTGCAAGTAACAAAAAAGATGACATAAGGACTGAAGGCCTAGACTCTGGAGCCAAGTAGCCTGGGTTCAAATGCCAGCTTTGCCTCCGATGTGCTGTGTGACCTTGGGCAATTTGCTAGATCTCTCTGAGCCTCCATTTTCCTTATCTGCAAGATGATAGTAATAGCATCTACCTTGTAGATGTGGTGGGAATGAGATGGGATTTGGAAAGGGCTGTGTAAATGTAGGTTATTGCTGTTAGAGCACAAACCCTGGAGTCAGACACACCTCGCTTTAATCCCAGCACAGCCACTCTGTGTGGCCTTATGCACATGACCTGACTCTGAGCCGAACTTCCATGTTCTATAAACTAGGGAGGACAGAAAAAAGTAATACGCACAACAGCCTGCGCTGGCGTATGTGCCACTCAATAAATGGTAGTTACATGTAATAAAAAGAGCATGGTCTTTGGGGTCAGATGCCAGTTCTGCCACCCTCCGGCTGGGTGAAAATTACGTCTCTCTGAGCTCAGTTCTCTCATCTGTAAAATGGAAAGAAAATCCTCCCCATGGGATTGTTGTGACTAAAGTGCTACTAAATATACAGTGTCTGGCCCAGCACCTGGTACATAATAGGTGCTCAACAAATCATAGTGATTATCATTATTTTAAAATTATAATAACAAAAATAAAGAAACGTGGGCATGATCATTTGGGTCCATCTAACCTGAAGCCACCTGGACCACACACACATGGTATTGGCTCCCCTTACCCACCTCCCAGCACCTATCTTTTTCTTTCCCCTGCTTCATGTTGACGAGTAGCTATAGAATTTACCATGTTTTAAAAGCTGTTTTAAGTACTTTATATAAAATAAGTCACTTAACCCCATATCATCCTGTGAGGTAGAAACTATTAAACATCTCCATTTGGCAGATGTGAAAACTGTGGCTCAAAGTTAAGTTCCTTGAGGTCATCTGTGTGGCAAGTAGCAGAGGCAAGATCTGAACCCAAGATTCCTGGCTCTAGAGTTCTCAGCTGCGCCTGGCTACTCAGGATGGTGACTCGGGCACCCCTCACTGACCTGGTCATCGGACACCTGCTGGATGTGTACGTGGGTCCCGTTGAGGATGTGTAACCGCGTGTACCCGTACTCCTTCACCCGCACGGCGCTCCAAGGCCGCGGGAAGAGGGTGAAGCGGGTCAGCCGCTCCTCACAGCCCTGCAAGGGACAATTGTTCAGACCGGGGCGGCCGGGGCAGGCGGGGACCCGCAGAGGAGCAGAAACAACCTGCCAGGCCAGGACCCTGCTGCCCCCAAGGGAGAAAAAGTCAGTGAAAACTTGACGTCAATAATGCTCACAAGTGCGTGTTTGACCCAGCCAGGCATCCTGGCCGGGTCTTCTGGAAAGTGCATGGCCGTATGACACTGTCCACTGCAGCGTTTTCTATAAAAGCCCTGAGCTGGAAGCCACCAAGTGCCCATCAGTGGGTCAGTTAAGTAAATTATAGCACAGCCATTCAAAGCAGGGTGATAGAGAAACGGGCCAGGATGTATCATTAAAGGGAAAATGCAATTGCAAAGCAGAAGAAATTGGAGGGTCTCAACCCTCACTGAACGGTAGACACTCCAAGAAATCTTTTTAAAATTACCAAAAAGGGAGTGCTCGTTCTTACAGGAGAATATGCCAGGTGAGTGAGGGAGCTCAAAAAAATTACCATTTGCAGCCATCATTATAATAACTGACTGAAGCAAGAATTATCACTAGATGGTAAAACTAACTAGTGGTGAAAGTTTGAGGTATAACATGATATTTGCATAGTCTCAAAGTATCTCTCCAGGACACACTTGTTAATTAAAAAGAGCGGGGAGAGGACTTGGTGGAGAGGCCAGCAGACACACCTTAATGAAGTGATCAGAGTGAACACCATCAGCAATGAGACCGTTCCCTCCCACATCTACAAGATGGGAAACCGAGGCTTAAAGGGGTTAAAGAGATCCCACGTGCCTCCTAGGAGGATGTCCTGAGAACGCGGTATCAATTTTGTGTATTCTTATCAAAAAGGGATTAACTTCCATCTACCTGAGCAAACATCAAACAAACCCAGATTGAGGTATGTTCTACAAAATGATTTTGCTATACTCTTCAAATTTTTCAAGGTCATGAGAAATGAAGACAGAGTAGGGAAATGTTTCCGATTAAAGGAAGCTAAAGAGACAAGACACCGAAATAGAACATGTGATTTTAGACTAGATTCTGGGCCAGAAAAATTCTTTGCTTTGATTTAAAGGACAGGAATGGGACAAATGGCTAAATTTGAATAAGCTCTGTGGATCAGGTAGTAATAGTATTTTATCAAGGTTAACTACTTGAATTTGATTATCACACTGTAATGATAAGAGATAAGATAATGTCCTTGTTTTTTTTAGGAAAGACAGAGAGGGACAGGGGCATAATTTCTGAAATGTATTCTTCACTGGATCTGAAAATAATAATAAAATGTATATATGTGCATATATACACATGTATACATAGCGAGAGATTAAAACAAGTATGGTTAAATGTTCACATTGGGAAATCTTGGTCAAGGGGATATGGAAAGTCTTTGTATTATTTTTTGCAACTTTCCTATACATGTGAAATCATTTCAAAATTCTAATTTAGAGAAAAACTAATCTGTGCTAATAAAGATCAGAATAGCGATCACCTATGGGCCTGAGGAGCCTCTGGTGATGATTGCGTTCTGTTTCCTGCTCCTGGAGTGACTACTCAGGTGTGTATCACCAGGGCCCATCCTTAGAAGGCTCTGGTGTTTTGTCTGGGGTAGGGCCCAGTCATCGGAGTTTTAAAACCTCTCAGGTATTCTAACAGGCACCAAGGTTGAGAACTGCAAAGGTATGAAGTGTGATCCAAGTTGTTTTTAAAAAGTGGGTGATATGGCCCTAGCCGGTTTGGCTCAGTGTGTAGAGCGTTGGCCTGCGGACTGGAGGGTCCTAGGTTCAATTCTGGCCAAGGGCACATGCCTGGGTTGTGAGCTCGATCCCCAGTAGGGGGCATTCAGGAGGTAGCCGATCAATGATTCTCTCTCATCATTGATGTTTCTGTCTCTCTCTCTCCCTCTCCCTTCCTCTCTGAAATCAATAAAGAAATATATATATTTTTTTAAAAGTGGGTGATGTAGTAACACATTTCTATGTAGACAATTACTTGTACATGCAGAGAACATTCTAAATGCTAGCAAGAGAGGGAACAACTGAGAGTGGGAGTAAGAAGGGGTGTAGATGGCTGGTGTTCACCTCCTGACCTCTGTACTGTTTGAATTTTTATCACCAGAGGCTCTTACTAATTTGTAAGAATCAGCTTTTAAAATGAGCCTCTCGGTGTTCCTGTGCAATGGGCACCCGCTCTCGAGAGTGTTGTTAAAAATCTCATTTTCACCATGAAAAACTAATAATAAAATAAAATAAATAAAATGAGCCTCTCTCCTTGCAGAAGTGACTGAGTCCAAGGTGGGGGCAGGGGAACCACAAGATGATCCTGAGCACCTTATAGTGCCAAAGACTAAGGAAGCGCTCCCGTCGAAAGGACAGCGGACTGACCTAAGAGTTCCCAGTGGCCAGAGCTGGAGCAACCTGAGCAGCAACAGAGTCAATAGCATTGGATCATAGCGCACAGAATGAAATAATTACCCATGAGTCCACTTCGGTATAAATCAATAGCTAACTAACCAAATAAGTGAGGCAGAGGGACAGCGCTTCCTCACAAGAGGATTATAATAAGTCTAGGAGGAAGGAGGGAACTGGAAGATCCCAGGAGAAGACCACAGTGTTAATTGTTGCAGGCAGGACCCACTGACAGTCAAAAATTTGTGCATATATACACATGTATACATGAAAGTTTGAGGAGAAGCAAGACATTTGCATGGTCTAAAAGGATCTCCTCCAAGGTGTTTATTAATTTAAAAAGGAGATATAATAACTTTATGGTGGAGAACCCAGCAGATACTTCCTTAAGCTGGTGATTCAGAGAAACCCCTCCAGGGTAGAGACACACTGACATCCCATACTCCCTGGTCTGATGCGCTGAGAGGACATGACAGCACCTCTGTGATTGTCTTGCCCAAAATGCATACCTGAATCTCAGCATGAGAAAATGTTAAATAAACCCAAACTGAGGGCATTCTGCAAAACACGAGGGTCTGCAAATATGTGAATGATGAAAGAAAGGAAAGACTGAGGGACTGTGACAGATTGGAGGAGACTAAGAAGACACAATAACTACATACAATGTTGGCTTCTAGAACAGAAATAGGCCATTAGTGACAAAGGGGTGGAATGTGAATGAAGTCTGGAGTTCAATTACAATCCTATATAATAAAAGCCTAATATGCTAAGTGTCCAACCATTTGTTCAACCGTTCGACCAGTTGCTATGACATGCACTGACCACCAGGGGGCAGACGCTCCAACTGGTAGGTTAGCTTGCTGCTGGGGTCCGGCCAATCGGGACTGGGCGAGAAGGGCCAGACACACCCTGGAGCCCTCCTTCCGTACCTCCGGGCCGGCCAGTCTCCTGTGGTCCCTCCCTGGCCTCTAAAATATTTCTTCTAATTAATTTCCTTTCAATGTGCACGAATCCATGCACCGGACCTCTAGTAATAATAATAATAAGCCCTCTGCCTGTGGATCCATCCAGTTGACCTGGGCAAGTGCCCAACCCCTGCCACCTATTGAACTTGTGACTGTCAATGAGTATTTTACTGTCTGAGCCTCTGTTTTCACATCTGTACAGTGAGCATGTTGCTAGGTTGAGTTAGTGATAGTGACTGTATGAAGCATGCAGCACCCCAGCTGGCACAAGTTCAACCCTCCATAAATAGCAACAGGAGAGAAGCCAGAGGCACCCTTTGCCGCCCTGCTCACAGCAGATCCTGTGATGATGTGGACAGGGCCTCGAGGGTTGGTGTAGGGCATCTCTCGGCTGCCGTTAAATACCTGGAGAAGGGGACAGGAAGAGGGGTGAGTCATACCAGACCAGACCAGAGGGTCTCAGTAGGGTCCATTGACAGCAGCCCTCAGCCCTCCCTGAACCTCACCTGGTAGTTGTAAATTGGCCACAGTCGTTCATACGAGTGCTCATGAGCCCACAGCTGCAGGTCGACCCCTGAGACAGAGCAAGTGGGGGTCAGGCCCCTGCATCCAGGTTGAGGGTGGGACTGGGGCCAGGGAGCACTTCCCGGCCCCCGAGTCACTTACCGTATTTGTAGAAAAGATCCTCTAATCCAAATAACTTGCCGAAGAGGCCTTTTCGAACCTGGGCAGGAGGAGCAAAGAGTGAGGGATGATCCGGGCAGGTCCCCTCCTGGCTCTCAGCACCCTGCCCAGGGAGGGGTCCTCACCTTGCTTTCATGCCACGTACAGTCATCCACATCCGCATTGGAACAGTACATGGGCCGGTGACCCATGGTGATGATCCACGGCCGGGCTGCCCGGTTCTTATTGGCTTTCTAGAGAGAGGGGCCAGAGTGAGAGGTGGGAGTAGGAGGGGAGGGGAGGCAGGTCCAAGAGGTGACAGGGACCTCCACCCAGTTACCTGGAGGTCTCTCTCCAGCCAGTGAAACTGTCTCTCTACCAGGTGGCGGCCGTAGTGGAGGTAGAAATATACTTCGGTGGAGAAGGAGATGATGTGTGCAGGGCCCAGATCCCAGCTGAGGGGTCAAAAGGCAGGGACCAGAGATAGGGTCTGTGCTACATCTCCCATCCTTCAGGGCAGCAAGGTCAGTCCCCCAGTGCTCCCTCCCTCCCAGGTTACCTGTACCACAGGCCCTCATTGTTTCCGGGCATGCTGAAGCGAGCCTTGTAGTTAGAGAAGTTGCTGGATAAAAGGAAGTAAAAGGATGGGGGGAGGGTCTGGGTGCCCCATCCACCCACCTCCTGAGGACCCTGAGGTCAAGTCTGGCTCCCAGACCATCCCTCCTCTCCTCTCACTACCACAAAGGAGCGGCTGCAGTATGAGGGACTAAGGTGAAACACTATAAAAGACCTATCTGTTCTCACTGGCCAGGCCCATGCCCACCCCGAAGCCGCTGGCCCTTACTAGCGTTCCTCATGATTCCCAGGGCATGTCATGTAGGGGAGGCTGGCAGCCACAGGTTCGATGAGACGCATGAACTCGTCGCCGACACGAGCGTTGTCCTGATCCATGTTGTAGGCAAAGTCTCCTGGGGAGGGGGGCAGGGGGCGAGGGGAGAGTGAGGACCCAGAACTAGCTCTGCTTTCTCCAGAACGGAGAGACTGGTTGCTCAGGTGTGGGCTGGGCATCCTCTGGCCTCTGAGCCATCCCAGCTCTCTGACCCCTGCCTCCCACCCACCCATGTGTGCACTTGAAGTGTTTCCTGAACCGCTGGCCCCTGAGACCCCACAGGACCAACTAGTCTCCTGTGCTCCGATCACAGCGGCCTCGTCTCTGCCGGCCTCCTGTGCCCTCCCAGAACATCGAGGCTGACGTAGTCTGGTACTGGTCTTACACCAGGCACAGTGCCAAAGCCTTTACACGCTTGGTCATTAGAATCTTCAAAACACTCTCTGAGGTGGGCGCTATCATCCCATTTCAGGTGGAGAAACTGAGGCCCGGAGAGGTTACGCACTCGCCCAAGGCCACCGAGCTGGTTAGTGACGACCCGGGAATCGCACCTAGGGGTCCACTTCGAGTCTGTGGCTTCGAACCACACCAGCCCAGGCTCCACCTCCCATCTGGCTCTGTCCCTCACGTCACAGCAGCAATGATAATAACTAACACTGACGTGCTGGGCAATGCCAACTTATTTAGTCATCACAGCAGTCCCGTGAATTCTGAACACGTCTTAGTCCAGTAATAATAACACAGGAGAAAACCATGCGGTAGCTCTCAAGTGGGAGCTGATTTTAACCCGGGAAGTCCGGCATCACAGACACCATCTCCATGGCCAGCCTCATCCCCAGGCCCCTCAGAACCACACTGGCCCTTGCCCCAGCCCCCTCTACAGTCCTGGCGTTGCCTCCCACCCAAGTTTCCCACTCCCCCCACCCCACCCCCGCCCCATACCTCCAGGCACACCCTTGCCAATGCCTCACCCACATGGAGAACAGCATCGTACATGCCCTGCTGAGTGTCCCTGCGCAGCCGAGGTAGGGCCCTCGGGTTGTCAGCCCCCCAGGTCCCCAAATACAGCCAGAAGGGGGCTCCAGTGGGGCCCATTCTTTAGGGCCCTGAAGCGGAACCGGCGGCTCCAGCCCTGAGTACTGCCACAGCGGTAAACTGGGGGGGAGGGGAAGGTCACAGTCAGCGGGGGGCCTCCGCGTGTCTCCTCCACCCCCACCCATCTTCAGTTGGTAGAGGGAGGGGGCAGGGGGGCTGAATGAGTCTGCCCATGCCCCTTCTGTCCATCTCACCCCAGGTCCCCACACCTTCCATTTTTATCCCAGTGTCTCAGACACGCAGAGGAGTTACCAGCCCAGCCTGAGCCACCTGCCAGTGGCAGCTTCCAATCCACATCCCACTCCTCTTCCCATTCCCTCCTCAACACCCGGGCCGGGACCCCGCTCACCATACTGGACCCCCGGCAGCAGCCCCTGCAGCGTGACGCGGTGTATGTAGAGCTTCCGCCGGAGAAAGCCCCCATCCACAAAGGGGCTGACGGTGCCCTGGGCCCGGAGGGCAGGGGCCCTGATAGCTGCAGCCCGAACTGTACTTCAGAGTGGGTTGGGACCCATGTGGTCCAGGTTACAGTCATGGAGCCCGGCTCACCTTGGCCAGAAAGGAATAGAGAGGGGCTGGGGCAGGTGAGGCCTTGCCAGGCCAGGGGAGAGATGTGCAGAGAGAGTGAGGGCAATGATTACACAGCTCCTGAAAGATCTCCGTAGTTAAGGACAGAGGTTGTGGAGCTTCCCAAGTTCAATCCCAGCTCTGCCATTTCCAAGCTGTGCTTTCCTTGGGCAAGTCACTGCCCTCTCTGTGCCTCAGTTTCCTTATTCTGTCAAATGGAATAATAAAGTACCTTATTCCTATAGGGTTGTTATGAGGCATAGATTAATAAATATAAGTATTTTGAAACAGTGCCTAGCATGGTTAGGGTTATATATGAGTGAATAGATATTATTATTAATATTATTATTTACTATGTGCAGGCCTTGTGCCAAACATTTTACATACATAATATCATTTAGGGGTTATAAACTCAGATGTCTAGAGGCTAGCTAGGTAATATAAATGGGGAAAAGGGCCAGCTGTAAGGAGCAAGACAGTATGGAGCTGCGGGGGCGGGTGGTGGCAAACTGCAGACTCTGCCCGGTCTAAAAGGAGCAGCCATCGCTCAGCTCTGGGGACACCTGCCATGCAAGAAGCAGGCCCAGTGCCACCAAATCTGGCAGTTTCTAGAGTAAATTTTTTTAAAAATATATTTTATTGATTTTTTTTTTTTACAGAGAGGAAGGGAGAGGGATAGAGAGTTAGAAACATCCATGAGAGAGAAACATTGATCAGCTGCCTCCTGCACACCTCCTACTGGGGATGTGCCCGCAACCAAGGTACATGCCCTTGACCGGAATCGAACCTGGGACCCTTCAGTCCGCAGGCCGACGCTCTATCCACTGAGCCAAACTGGTTAGGGCTAGAGTAAATTTTTATATTGTGGTTTTTATGTCCCGAGTATATATAGATAGATACACAAATCCAGACTTTTAAGTGATTGTTCCAAATTCTTAAACATTAGCAACCAAATCAAGGTTTTAAAAATATCATGAGGTATAGTGTAATGTTGAGTATTCACCTCCCATCTGGTTCCCTGTTCCCTCATGTCACAACAGCAATGATAATAACTTCACCCGCACCATGAAAATGCACACGCACAAGGTTACTGATTGCCACACTGTGTGCAATCACCATATACCAGAAACAACTGAAAGGCCCGTATGTAGGAGAGTGACTGAATAAATCCTACATGTGTACAGTGGAGCACTATGCAATGTCAAAAAGAAAAAGGACAAGCTCTGGGAGCTCTAGGATATGGAATGATGTCCGGGACATACAGTTAAATTTAAAAAGCAAAGTATACATGAGTATAGTTAGCTACTCTTCATGGATGAGGATATAAGACAATACACAAAGATATGCTCATTTGTACAAAGGAAATACAGGGAGGATATACTAGAAACTAAAGAGATGGATTACTTACCTGGGGTGGTTGGGAAAGTAAGGGGTAGGAGAAAGGAGAAATGGGGAAGTAGGAATGAGAAGGGAGGATGCCGCTCTGAGTCTATCTTTTTTGCATAAAAATTCTGAATTCTAAAAGCTATAGTCATGTTTCATATCTCCTTCATACACCCTAAAAGTAAACTAACAAAATTACTCAGGATGTAGGGAGAAGCTAGTATGGAATATAAACACTAACAAATGGATGTAACTATATTTAAAAATGAATAAAGTAACCACACTGAAGGGTTGGGGAAGAAAAGTAACTGTGGAAAATAGGTCTTGACTGGGCACTGTAAGATGACAGAGAAAAAGGACTGCACATAAGTGCCATCATTCAATAAGTGTTCTCACAAGGATACTGGCAAACAATTCTGAAATGACTTTATGTCTATACTAGAGGCCCAGTGCACAAAATTCGTGCATGGAGGGGGTCGGTCCCTTAGCCCAGCCTGCACCCTCTCCAATCTGGGACCCCTCAGGGGATGTCCAATTGGGCCTAAACTGGCAGTCAGACATCCCTCTCACAATCCAGGACCACTGGCTCCTAACTGCTCACCTATCTGCTGGCCTGACCGCCCCTAACTGCTGCCACCCTGCTGTGTGGGTCCTGGGTGTGGGTATCCGGCTCCCTCCTCCCTCCTGTCAGAGTCTGGGGCATGCCACAGGACCCAGAGTCAAGTCCCCGCCCAACCGCGTGCGCCTCAAAATCGAGCGACACCCAGACCCGGCTGGCCCCACCCCCATTGGGCGAGACCCAGCCCCAGCCAGCCCCACTCCCGTCAAGCCCTGCAGGTGCATCACGTCCCCAGCCAGCGCTGGGTAGGGACGCAGCCTCCTGCTGATCAGTCGTTACGGCATGAGGGCATGATGACCATTTGCATATTAGCCTTTTATTATTATAGAGTAGCACTGAACAAGTAAGTGTATGTAGATAGTGGGAGCTATGGTTCTCAATGTTGGAGAAAGAAGTCACAAACAAAGAAAGAAGGAAAAATAAACCTTTGATGTTGGACTGAAATCAGAGGTATCAGTATGATCCCATGGCATTTAATATATACAGATAGATACAGAAGTATAGATGTGGCAAGTGCTAATAAACATGCCCACACGTATGGCCTAGCTTCATTTGTGAGGACCTAGAAACAATGACACCTCAGTGGCAATGAGCACACCTAGTGTTCAGAACTTGATTTCTAATTACCCATTCTCCAATGGAAGGAATCAGGGCTCTTTGGAGAAGTTGTTGATTACAGAGATGGGCAGGAAATATACAGGATGAGCCTGGAATAATTTGAGGTGCCAGACAGTGAGGAAGTGCTCAAAAATGAAGGGGCTTTGTGAACAGAATACAAAAGCTGCCCTGGCCAGCATTGCTCAGTGTCAGAGCATTGGTCCGAGCACCAAAGGATCACAGGTTCGATTCCCAATCAAGGGCACATACCTGGGTTGCAGGTTCGATCCCTAGCCCAGTTGGGGCACGTTCAGGAAGCAACTAATCGATGTGTCTCTCTCACACCAATGTTTATCTCTCTCTCTCTCTCTTCACCACCCTCCCTTCCACCCTCTTTTCCCCACCCTCCCTTCCACCCTCTCTAAAATTCAATGGAAAAAATAGCCGCGAGTGAGGATTAACAAAAATAAAAAATAAAAATAAAAGGACACAGAAGCCATTCTGAAGGAATTGCAAAAGACCAAATCAGGGACAATTTGAGCCACAAAATAAATAATGATAGTACAGAAGTTTAAGCCATGGAATAAAATAAGTATCCATGAGTCTATACTGATATAAAGAAATAATTGAATAAATAAAGTAATGGAGGAGGGAAGGACAGCCTTTCTTTAGAATAAAATTTCAATTAGATGAAAAGAGAGAATTAGAAGATTACAAAATCACAATTAGGTGAACATCATGCTAATAATTGCTGCGGACAAGATTCACCAATGGATACTAATATTAGTGGACAAGTTTAAAAAGAAATATGATTTTTGTAGTCTCAAGGAATCTTCCCCAAGATATTTATTAACAACAAAGGAAAGAATAAAAACTTTACAATGGAGAAACCCAAGAACTAAGCAATGACAGTCAGCATCACCAGTAATAGCAATAAGCCATGTCGGCATCTTGCATTAGGAAGGACACAACATCACATCTTTCTCATTTGCCAGAAAAACACATAACTTAGCTCCAATCATGAGAAAATATCAGACAAACACAAAGTGAGGGATGTCCTGCAAAATACCTGCTCAGTACTCAAAAATGTCAAAATAATGGAAGGTAAGGAAAGACTGAGAAACTGGAGATTGGAGGATACTAAGTAGACACAACAACTAAATGTTAAATAACTAAATCAGTGGAAAAACTGGTGAAGTCCGAACAAAATCTGTGGTTTAGTTAATAGCGTTGTACCAATGTGACTGGTATTAATAATAGTGCCAGCCTGGCCAGCATGTCTCAGTGATTGAGCGTTGACCTATAAACTAGGAAGTCACAGTTCAATTCCCAGTCAGGACACATGCCCAGGTTGTGGGCCGGATCCCCAGTAGGGGGCATGCAGGAGGCAGCCGATCAATGATTTTCTCTCATCATTGATGTTTCTATCTCTTTCTCTCTCTCCCTTCATCTCTGAAATCAATAAAAATATTTTTTTTTAAATAGTGCCATGGTTAGGTAAGATGTTAACATTAGGAGAGACTGGGTGGAAGGATATAGAAACTCTATATTTTTGCAAATTTTCTGTTAAGTCTAAAATTAGTACAAAATATAATGTCTTAAAACAAATACCATGGCTCTTGAGTTGCTTAGGTTCAAATTCTAGAATGTGTGACCTAGGGTCAGACTCTCCAGCCTGTTTACCCTTTTGTATAATGGGAATAACAATAGTACCTATAGCTTAAGGCCCAGAATGAGGTCAGTTGAGTGATCCTTCTGAAGCACTTAGTCAGAGTATATTTACTACTATCATTTTGTGGGCCAAGGGACAGCTGTGAACTCTGGATTTTCCTAGCAGCTCCCTGAGATGGATTTTATTGTTGTTCCTTTTATCTCAGAGGTCTCCGGGCAAAGTGTCTTGTCCAAGGTCAACGGGTCAACAAATGCCAAAGCTAGTTCATTCATGCAGTTTCAGATTCCACATTGCAACTAATCTTTAAGAAACTATCTTCCTTAAAAGTGTCAAGGACACAGAAAACAAGGAACATTTGAGAAAGTGTCCCAGATAGGAGGGGACTAGAGACATGGCAGCTAGATGCAACATGGGATCCTACAATGGACCCTGGATTAGAATAAAGACATTAGTGGAAAAGATGGTGAAATATGAAAAAAAATCCATGGTTTAGTTAGTAATGTGATACCAATGTTAAGCCCTTAGCTTGACAATGGTACCATGGACACATAAGAAATCAACATAAAGGGAAGCTGAGTGAAAGATGTACAGGAAGTGCACTATCTTTGTGACTCTTCTGTAAGTCTAGAATTATTTCAAAATAAAAAGCTAAAATAATTAGGAAGGGAGGGAGGAAAAGAGGGAAGGAAGGAACACAGGAGGGTGGTGCAAAAAAAAGAATAGCCACAATTATTTGAAACTCCTTTTAAAATCCTCTTCTCTGTTTCAACCACATGCCTGCATGAGACCAAATTTTCTTCATATATATCTTCTAAAGCAGCATATTATCGAAACAGACTGAAGCAGAAGAGGATGTGAGGAGGATCAAGCTGTCTCCAGACATTAAAGTGACTTAAACAAATGTAACTCAATGGCACTCTTTTCACTAGATTTCTTTTCTTTGTAAAATATAGTTATTATTCATGAAAAATGTCATTTACCTTAATGCAGAATGGGTTTATTACTATTCATTTAAATGACAATAAATATTTCTAAATGGTTTTGGTTTCTAATATGGCAAATGCTATGGATATAACTCACATAAACTAAAGCTCTTTGAGGTTCTCAAGAATTGTAGCTGTGCTAAGGGGTCCTGAGACAAAAACATATGAGAACCTCTGCTACACACCAAGCTTTGTTTTTGTTTGTTTGTTTTTCTTTTTGCCACTTCACAGGTAACATCTCATTTACTCCTCACTATGAGATCACACTGCTGTTATTCTGTTGTCCAGAGAAGTTAAGTCACTTGCCCAGGGTCACACAGCAGGTAGGTAGCAAAGTTGGGATTCAAACCCAGGAGTCTGTATGCAAAGGGTCCATGGCCCAAGACCTTACTACCCAGTGCACCACCACCTCGTGATCAAGGATCAGGAGACAGCCTTGTGGGGACACCATGAGCGGTTACACAATGAACAAGAGCAATAGCAGCCCCCTTTGGAGGGCACTTACTATAGGCTGGGCACCAGAATCATCTCCCACACAGCCAGATGAACCAACCCTGCTGGTGATCCCCACTTAACAGAGGCAGACAACTGAGGCTCAGGAAGGGCCAGCCACCAGCCTAGGGCCTCCCAGCCATCAGTGTGTGATTCCTGAGCCCCCAACCCAATGGGCCTCACTGGGAAATGTCCTGGGAGGGGTCACAGACACTTACCTGGGTACGACAGGTGGACTTGCTCCGGGGCAGCAAGGGGATCCTTTGGGACCCCCTGGACTCCCAGGGAGAAAAACAGGAGCAGACAGCAGCAGGACCAGCAGGGAAGAAAGGGGCACATGGTGGTGGTGGAGGGGGCAGAGAGGGGAAAGGGATGGGGGCCGTAGAAGGTCAGATTCCGTCAGGGACAGCAGGAGGGACTGGGAGGATGAAGAATGGAGGGGGTCAGGCAGTGTCCCTGGGAGTGAGGCCGGATGGAAGGGAGGTCTTCCAGGGATGGTTATCCAGATGCTGGAGAGCAAACAAAAAGCTGATCACTACCAAGCAGCCAACGCAATCTGAGCCTCCTGGGTGCCTAGCACTTTGCATAGATTAACTCATGGGAGCCTCGCAGCATTCCTCCGTGTGGTGGCCACTGTGATCAACAGCCCATATCGCAGATTAGGAAAATGAGCAACCCAGTGATTCAGCTGCACAGCTCGGATGTGATGGAGCCCAGATTGGAACCCATGAGCCCTGGCTCTTAACCACAGCTCACTCTCAGCACAAGAGGTTTGGGCGTGAGAGGGGGCTCGAGTAGGAAGTTCCCTTTGGCAACCCCACCCCCCAGCATTCCATTCCGCTTTTAGTAACCCCAGTTTCTTCTACCTGATTCCCTACATCCCTAGCATTCCACCCTGCCCTCAGGGACCTCATCACTTTACTCCATCCTCCAGCCTCTGTTTTGGTCTTAGTGACCTGAATGCTCCATCCCATGCCCAGATCCCTCAGAAGTCCATCCTACCTGGAGCGGCCCCTCCCCTCCGCCATCCCCCCACCAGCACCCCATCCTGCCTTTGTGACCCCAGTCCCCACCCACCCCATCTCCACCTTATACCCACCCCCCTTCTCCGCAGCCCTTCCCTGCCGGCTCCAGTTAGGTCCCAGCTCCCCAGGACCTGCCAGGGCAGGGAGCTGGGGCGGGGGCGCCCTCCGGGTCCCGGCTCACCCTCGAGGGCGCCAACTGCTTGCACGCGCGTCTCCGGCCACCAGTGCGGCTGCGGTATTTATGAGTTTGCAGGCGCGGAGGCATCCCGCCGCCCACAGCCGTCCCAGCCCCGGAAGAGCCTGCCTTCTCCGAGTGACAGGCTCCGCAGACAACTAGGGCCCCGGGTCCCACAGGTCCGGCCGGTCCTGGGCGTCCCACGCCCACCCGCCCCCCTCCCCCAGGGCGGGGCGTGAGAAGGGGGACCCAGAAAGGTTGGGTACGCCGCCGCCGCCGCCGCCGCCGACACCTCCAAGCGGGCCACCAGGTGAGCGCCCAGACGGGTAAGGCTGCGCTTGTCCCCCAGGCGCCCCGCCCCGCAGCTGCGGAGCCCCCAGGGTGCGGACCTCGACCCCCACCCCTGCCCCTGACGGATCCCTCGGTGCCCAGGTGTCCTGGCACCAGCGCCTGCGACCCGTGGACCCGTGGGATCCCCTTCCCGTTCGCAGGCTTCATCTTCCTCCCAGTTCCTCCCACTTGCCTCCCTCCACAAGCTAAGCCCACTGATTCTTCCCCAGACCACCCCACCCCCACCCCTTGGCCGCAGAAAACACAGGCAGGACTGTGCTGCTTCCGAGCTGTGTGCCCTGGGCCGGTTACTCGGCTTCGATGCGTCTCGGATTCTTTTTTTGTTTTTTAAATATATTGATTTTTATTGATTTCGGAGAGAGAGGGAGAGGGAGCTAGAAACATCGATGATGAGAGAGAATCCTTGATGGGCTGCCTCCTGCACGCCCCACACTGGGGATCCAGCCAGCAACCCGGGCATGAGCCCTGAGCGGGAATCAAACCACTGAGCCATGCTGGTCGCGCGGGTCTCGGATTCTTTACCTGTAAAATGAAGGTGATAATGGTACGTACCCTAATGGGCTGTTGTGAGGATTAAACCAGTTGACACATGAAACTTCATGCTGAGACTGCAGCCTGGCCCAGAGTGAGGGCTGGATAAGAACCAGCTGTTATTTCTATACTAATGCATGAACTCCAGAAATGCCCTGGGGTCTAGGAGGAAGCAAGTGAGAATTTGTAAACCTCTGTGCGCTGTTGGAAGGCTGTGGGTGGCTTGCCACAAAGTGTGCTTGAGGGTTCCTGGAGCAGCAGCAAAAGTACAAATGTACAAATATTTTTTATAGATGTACAAGTATTTTTTAAACAAATATGTGATACAGTAGTATATGTGATTCTTTTTTTGAGTTTTTATATTTGACTTTATTCCTCATTTAACTATAGTTGAATTATGTGCTTCCTTTTTATTTTACTTTCAATTACTGTTTTCATTTATTATTATTTTGTATTAGTTTCAGGTGTACAGCAGCATAGTATATGCTTCTTTTTTCATGCATTAAACTTCAGGTCCTAGTGGCAGGTCCCAAAACTATGGTAATTTAGAAGTTTTGATGAGTGTGTAGAAGATGTTTGAGAGTCCTGCAGTGACTGTATGGGATTTGAAAACATGTGTTTTCTTCTCATGACAAAGCTAGAAATTGCTAACAATCCTGTGGTCTGTTCACACACACCCCAATCCCTTTCCCCTGCCCCCACACTTCCCCACCACATGGCAGAAAGGCATGCTAAAATGCAATTACATCAGCAGCTTTTATTATGAAATAGTTTGATTTCATTAACCCCCTGAAAAGGGTCTTGGGGACTAACAGGGTTTCCAAACTGCATTTTGAAGACTGCCCAGTTAAAGTGTGTAGTAAAAGCAAAGAGGTCATTGTTTTTCCCATCCAAGTTCACACAATCCCTGAATTCCATGCACCATTTAAGTTAAAAGGCTCCACTGGAATCATGGGCTCTCATTACCTGTAAAATGAGGGCTCATAGCTCACTGATAGCCCCTCCCCTACTCTCAGGACAACCATCAAATGATTTCTAGTTTCTCTTTTTAGATACCTTTGTGTTTTGAGAAATATACTTCCACTTCCCTATTTCTTATTTCACTCTTTTTAAAAAAACATATTTTTATTGATTTCAGAGAGGGATAGATAGAAACATCAATGATGAAAGAGAAACAAAGATTGGCTGCCTCCTGCACGCCCCACACTGGGGATCAAGCCCACAACCCAGGCATAGGCCCTGACCAGGAATCGAACTGTGACCTCCTGATTCATAGGTCAATACTCAACCACTGAGCTATGCCAGCAGGGCTCTTATTTCACTCTTTAGGGTGAAGACTCTGTGGTGAGCAGAGCATATACTGTAGGACTAGATGGCCTGTGTTTAGATCTAGCTTGAGCATACCTTACTGTGCCTCAGTGTCCCCATTTGTTAAATGCACATAACAATAGTAACTACCTCAAAGGGTTGTTGTGAGGATTAAATAAGGTAGGAGCTATAAATCTCTTAGAACAGTGCTAAACAGAGCAAATACCACACACATTCCTTCCAATTATTTATTGTACCTAAGACATTAGTTTGTCCAGTTTGTAAGATAAGGCTATGGTGAACCTACTTTTCAAAGTCATTTTAAAAGTATTTTTAACATATATTTTTATTGATTTCAGAGAGGAAGAGAGAGAGAAAGAGGGAGAGAGAGAGAGAGAGAGAGAGAGAGAGAGATCAATGATGAGAGAGAATCACTGATTGGCTGCCTCCTGCACGCCCCAGTTGGGTCCCACTGGGGATCAAGCCCACAACCCAGGCATGTGCCCTCGACTGGAATCAAACTCAGACCCTTCAGTCCGCAGGCCGATGCTCTATCCACTGAGTCAAACTGGCCAGTAAGTCATTTTTACATTATTCGAATCTTTTTTATTGTGACAGATGACACACATACAGAAATGTACCTGAAACATAAATGTTCCACTTAATGAATTTTGACAAAGGGAACACATTTGTGTCACCACCACCCAGATGAAGAAGCAAATTTTACCAGCTTTCCACGAGCCCCCTTCTGCCTCCTGCCAGGCACTACTTTCTCTCTCCCTATGAAGGTGCCCATTTTACTGACGTAGGTAAAAGTGTGCCTTCCTGAATAAGGGGCTTCCTTTTCTTACTTTCCACAGGATGTAAACAGAATTATACAGTATGGACTCTTGTGCTTGGCTTTTTTCACTCAACATTATGATTGTGAAATTCATCTGGGTTGAGCATGGAAATGCAATTCAGTCCTACTCTTTGCTGAGTAGTAGTCTACTGTGGAGTACACTGCAATTTCTGTCATCTGCCAGAAATGGTTGATGGGAATTTGAATTGTTTCCCTTTGTTGGCTTTTTGCTCTTAACATTCTAGTACATATTTTGTTCTAGAATATTCACAACATAATGTGAATATATATATATATATATATATATATATATATATTCACATTTCTCTTGGGTATGAAAGCAAGACTGGCTGGGTCATAGAGTATGTGTATGTGTGTGTATGTGTGTGTGTGTGTGTGTGTGTGTGTGTGTGTGTTTAGTCAATAGAACCAAAAGCTTTCCAAAGCAGTTGTAATAATTTCTTCTCCCTCCAGGGCATTTCCATTGCTCCACATCCTTGCCAACACTTGGCCATGTTAGACGTTTTAATTTTAAACATTTTGTTGGATGTAGCTCATTGTAGTTTTAATTTGCATTTTCCTGATGAGTAATAGAATTGAACACTTTTCATTGAACGCTTTTCATGGCCTTTTGGAAATCCTTTTCAAGATGCTCTTGTTCAAGTGTCTTGCCCAATTTTCTATTGGGTTGTCCATTTTTTTTAAAAATGGACTTGTTCTTTATATATTCTGGATACCAGCCATTTGTTAGTTGTACATACTATACACATCTACTCTATGGCTTGCCTTTTCACTCTCTTAATGGCATTTTTTAAATTATATTTTTTGCCCTAGCCGGTTTGGCTCAGTGGATAGAGCGTCGGCCCGTAGACCGAAGGGTCCTGGGTTCAATTCCGGTCAAGGGCATGTGCCTTAGTTGCAGGCTTCTCCCCAGCCCAAGCCCTGGTCCAGGCTCATGCAGGAGACAACTGATTTGGCTTAGTGGATAGAGCATTGGCCTGCAGACTAAAGGGTCCTGGGTTCAATTCCGGTCAAAGGCATGCCCTGGTCCAGGCTCATGCAGGAGGCAACCAATCAATGTGTTTTTCTCTCATGATATTTCTCTCTG